GAGTTCCTCCATGCATGGTTCTGGCATGAGCATCGGAGATGACTAGGTTGGTGAATTTTGACTGACGAGGTAGTATTGCTGGATGTTTACTATCATCCTCCAGCTGAGAATTTTGCAGCCGTCCACCACCCCTGAGAATTCCTGCACGATCGACAAGGGCCGTGAGTCGCGTCAGAACGTGACGTTTGTGAAGAGATTGACCTGCCGACAACGTTCTTAATTCTGGTGAGAAATACGCCTCTTGAGTCGCGCGTATCTAGAACGATTTTGCCTTCTCCAGGTCTGCTGGATTCAATGGCGATGCGGACAAGCTCGAACCAGGAACCCTCTTAAAGCGCGAGACCGCTCTCTGAATGATCGCCGTGATCCGAAGTAGTTTAGTAAGATGCCGATGAAAGGAGGATGATTSCGGAAGGTCAACGAGGTCCCAAACTGGAGGTTGGGCTTGTGAGAGTGCAAGTGAGATGCCAGGACGTTCCTCCATATCCTCTTCCGGTGAGGGTGGCACTGACGAGGGCCAAAATTCTGGCGACTAAGAAAGCCATGGTGGACCACTCCACTATAGTGGGTGATCAATGAGTTGAGATGCATTGAGAACACGCAAGGGTCACAGAGGAGTCAGACCACAGAAAAGTAAGAACGTCCGAGAGGTCGAGAAGTCTAATTACATTTGCGGTCAGCCTGGCTAGCAGAGCCGCTGCTGAGAGTTCAAGTCTAGGAATGGTCAACCTCTTGAGAGGAGCTACTTTCGTCTTAGCACAGACCAAACTGACTACTGAAGATGAGTCAGCATACGACACCCTGAGATATACAACTGCTRCCATAGCAAGTTGAGAGGCGTCTGAGAAGCCATGAACCCGTACTGAGGTCGCCTTTGACGAGAGGTTTATCCATCGGGGAGTTTCTATGACCGATAGCTGAGAGAGATGTTGCCTAAACTGGGACCACTCGTGAACTATGTCTGGAGKKAGATGATCATCYCAGCMAACCTTTTCCVACCAGAGTCGCTGCATGAGGATTTTCGCTTTGATCACTACCGGAGAGAGAAGTCCAAGAGGATCAAACATTTGAGCAACTTCAGAGAGAATGATGCGTTTCGTGACGGCTTGATGGAAAGAAATGGTACCGTGAAAAGAAAACACATCTTTCTGAGAATTCCAGGAGATGCCTAAAATCTTAGTAGTGCTATCATCGAACGAATGAACAGGCGAGCTGTCAGRCTGTGAGAGAGAGGTGCGAGTGAGGTTAGGAGAATTACTTTTCCACTTGTCAAGTGGTAAACAGGCGGAGGAGCACATGTCCTCTAACTGAGATGCTACA